AAATGGCAGACTTTTGTATTGATGAGCCGATTTGTTTCGAACTTGGATTTTGTATGTTTGAGGTCAATGAGTGTGATTTGAGGATGTGAATTGTGAAAAGTTATCAGGAAAAAAGTCTTGTAATAATTACGCATAAATGATAATACTGTGATAATGTTGCTATTCAAGTTATCAATAAATTTAATAGACATTAATTTAGGTAAATGATTTTATTAGTCACCAGATTAACAAAATTGCACTAAAAAGTAAATTGAATGGACAGATCTTTATTTAATTAAACAAAAAGAATTAGTACTTTTGTCAATGGCACATATATCTTTGAGATAGTGCAGAGATGATGGTTTAAATCAGGCAAGATTACTGGGTACCTATTTGAGTGCGTTAATTAGTTTACGAATATTTTTTTAGCAGTTATTTGTCAGGTTTACATATTGTTTACTTTTTAGTGCATATTTTTCCATGCTGGTGTTTTGACGACCCTAATAAAATCGTTTATTTTAAAAGATTTTAATTATTTAATTTATAAATTAATTAAAAATAAATTAATGTATTTTTTATGGCCAATGGAAAAAGAGATTGAAACAACGTGTAAATCTTAATATTTATTAAAAAATAGGTATTTAAACAGGTAAATGTTTCATTCATGCATTAAGTTCTTTAATTTATGTGTAACTTGTTTGCTTTTTATTGAACCGTAACTTTTTAAATCCCTATTCTTCAATTTTAATGTATAAAATATTTTACACCTAATAAATAATTTATACAAAAATAGTTTTGGAAATTCTTTACAAGGATGATCAAATGTTATATTTCCAAAGTATGATAAGAGTTTATGAGAAATTTGATCCTCTATAAAGATTTTTTTCAAATTGTTCATGAAAAATGTTGTCCAAATTAAAAATAAAATTAACAAAATTCTCTGGAGGTGTGTAAAGACCCCCAAAATTCCTTTTCGTAAAGTCGAATGCTCTAAAATAAGTCAATAGATTGTTCAAATCTATTGACTGGCATTGTTTGCCAAACATTTTACATGTATCGCACGAATGTATTTCTAAACATTTTTTAATTAAATACCGACAGACATAATAAAATAACTTTTGTTCTGGCATATTTTCTCTCCGGTATGAATTATCATTTATTGCTACAGCCGGAGTTCCTGGATCTGTATCGCTTAATACAACAAGATTAGCTGGATTTAGGTTTAATAAAACTTTATCCAGATCTGGCATGCAATTCATGTTCTTAGAATGGAAATAGTTTTAAATAAATAACTTTTTAATGCTCTTTTGAATTGGATAGGAGTGGGATTCAAACAATTACCACCTTGTTGCCTCACACTACCAAAATAGTTTTCCAAACAGTCTGTGTTTAACCGTCTTGTTTGAAGATATTTAAATCCTACTTGTGAAAATTTGTCCCATAATTTCAAGAGGCTTTTTATGGTAATTGTCCAACACTTTATAAATTTCAATCTTTTGGTCACATCTTTCCCTTTCTTGTCCACTACTTTCCATTTGAAAGTCTAATTTGTCAGAAGCATTTTTAAATTTATAGGCGTTTTGCGGCAAAAGTGAATTAAAAATGTCAACAAGGCAATTAAATTTTTCAATAATTCCGATTGTTCCAAATTCTTCACTAGACAATGCACCCAAACTCATATATGTATTCATACCACAGGCGACTGAATGACTCAAAACTTGTGCTGCATAACTTACTTTAATTTTTTCAAAAGACGTGGGATATAAGTGAGCATAAGTGAGTTTAGGTGCACATCTGTAAAATTGAGTCTTATTAGAATTATAAAACGATTTTATGTATGACCATGATGTTGTTTTGCCATCAAAGCAGAAACTATGTTGCTTTAGGTTATTCCTAGTTGCTTTAATTAAATGACAAGGATCGAAAAAGTATACAAACTTTCTGCCACCCAATTGAAATTCTGTGTTGTCACAACTTACCCCTAAAATATTTGCAAGTTGAATAAAATTTGAGCCCATATCACTAGAAATACCCTCCACTCTCATATCAATTTTTTCCATGTCTATAATACATTTTTCTATTAAAGGACGAAGCTTCGGGGCTTCCAATGTTGTGCCTGCAAAAAAGAACGCCACTGGCTGCTTCCAAGAGGAATACAATCCTTTTGCCATAATAACAAGAACGTTTTTGCATGGTTCTGGTCGCCGTTCCTTTCCTAAATCTGCATACCCAATAATTTGGTCATTATTTAAATCATAAAATAAATTTGACTTAATTGCCATTTCGTCAATACAGAGAATACAATGCCTCTCCTTCTCGGTCATCGACTTAATTTTGATTTCCAATGCCTTGAAAATGGCATCGTTATTAAGCCCAGGTTGACACAAAAGTCTTGAAGTTAACCTCTCCAGTGTTCTTTTATCTGGTAAAGTTAAAATATTAGCCAGATAGCGATATGCTCTGTGGCTTAAGAAATAAAGCGCCAAATCAAACTGCTTTAATTCCAGCGAATATCTTCTGGATATAGGTTTTTTTGATTTAATTTCGACATGTTTTATTATTGTAGATAAAGGATTGCTCAAAAATCTGTCACACATTGTTTTGAAATCTTCTGATTGAAAATCTGACAGTAAATCTGACAGTACCCTTCTTTTGCGTCTCTAAAGATACCTTAGTTTTGACTTGAGTTTCATTTTACTAGGACTACTAGATGAAAGGCTTGCAAGTGTTTGTGTGCTCACAGTTGGAGAAGGTAGTGGCGCCTTCACTATCAAAGGTTCGATGATAACATCTTGTTACTTTAAAAGGGAGATTTAACCTTGTTGGTTAAATTATCTCCCGATTCCAGGGTTTTCTGTGAAATGGTTCGGGCACTTAAATTTATATCTTTAATTAAACAAGGGGGTTGTCTCTCTACAGTATTTTATTATCTGCAGCAAACAGATGGAGTTTGTTGTTTATAAGATATTTACAATGGGATGAAGTTATGCTACAATTAATAGAGAATAATATATTATTTACAATAAAGTCTAGCCCCGGTCTTCTGTGTGGTATGCATACTATACGTGAAGATTCACAACTAATCTTTTGAGCCATACAAAGTAAGTAAACCTATATTATATTTAAAAAGCCAGTTATTAATTTAGATAGCAAATCTATAAGTTTTATATGGATTTTATATATTTTGTAGGTTATTGAAAACTACCTTCTATTTAATAAAAAGAACAATCCTAATTTTCTTTAAGCATTATGGACTATGGTTATGAGTACGAAAAATATATGAAAATCAATAATAAAGTGGTATATCTTGTATTGCTACTACTTAGCTGCGTTCCAGTGGACTTCGGAGACTCAGGATTTCCTCAAAAGTGCATTCACTGCTTCTTAGCCTAGTGATGTCAGCCTCTGTTGGATGTACGTAACCTGTACCTACTCAGGAGTTATAGATTTTAGTGTTAGTGAATTGGGGAACAACTTCGTAAGAAGGATTAAGCTTATCGCGTGTTCAACGCGGGTATGCGCTTGCCATCTTTAAATTCCGAGAGGGGATTTATGGGTCCTGACTGTTGCGAATCTTTTATCCATACTGGGCGATTTTTGATGGAGCCCTAACTACCTCCAGGCGAATTCCTAGGAGATGTATTCACGCCGACCTGGGAGTCAGTTCTTCAAGGTTGCGACTTATTTTTGCCACTTCACTTCACCAATTGTACTCCTTGTTCTGCAGATCTCTACCTCCTGTAACGATTATCGTGCCCCAACGCTCCATAAATTAAGTGATTTTACTTATAATTTATACCTAGTGCTCTCTACTATGTTGGCTGGAACACAACTAGTAAAGGGGATGGAATCCCCGAGTTTTCGTGTTAAAGTTAAACCGCAGTCATCTCCATTCAACCACATATTCATTATTATTATGTTGGTCATTATTTCTTTGTGGTTCTATATAATAATTTTTTTTATTGTTAATGGGAATCTAATATTTTGGGATTTAGTTTTCAAGTTATTGATTCTCTAGTTTAACCTAGGGTTAAAATAGGAATATTACCGGTTTTAATATTAAAAGTTTAATAAGCGATTAAATTATTGAGTAAGTATTAAATTTAACCTTCAGTAACTAATTTTCTTTGACATATTTTATTTCAGGGATTATTGTATTACATGTCCTTAAATACGGGACCATATTATTGTATTACATGTCCTTAAATATGGGACCATATAGTACCCCAGTATCCCTATTTAGGCTCTGGTATTTTTGATTAGTCAATGTGACACTTGGTAGCAATAGTACTTGTGGTACTGCTACATATATGAATTGTATTTTGTTTTTGCAGATACATCTGAATTATTAAACGGTCCCTTTGTTCGAACAAATGGAGCCATGATGCATCGGTAAAAGTATATATCCAGGTCTTTCTTAATAAATTTCCCATTAACAGTAACCTGAGTTTTCATTTCTTTGAGATTAGGAAGCAGTATCTTCCGGCATCAACAAGCTGAACCTTTTAAGGTGAGTTCATTAAATTGTTGAAGTAAATCACTTATTTATTATAGTCCAGGGGTTTTGTCAAATAAAAAAAGAAGGTATTTATCCTTCAAAAACTAATATCAGTACATTATTGCTTCTTGTGAATAGTTGTCTATCCTCTCAACAACCAGGGATCTAGTGATTTGGATCAGCCCATTAAATCACTGGCTCGATATAAATTCAGAACCCCAAGGCGTACTAGGGTGGTAGATAACTCTTTTGTGTATATCAACTAATTCATTTTTATAATTTTTGTTAAACAAAGAACGCCGGTAACATTATTATTGTTTTTATTTAGATAGTCAAAATATAGCGGTGTCTTCATCTTAAATGCGACACACTGTATAAGAAAATCAGAATGTGAGACTGATAATTCCCTTTTGCGTCCAAAACATGATAGAGTCAATCAAAGATGCGTAGGCCTGGACCTAACACAACCATAACCTTTCTCATGATCAAGAGCAAAACTTCAGAAAAATCCTTTAAACTTTAGGCGCTGGAACTACAAGGAGAAGTGGAAACCCAACAAATATAGCACATTCTCAAAGAAGAGACGTTTGGAATTCAAAAAGAAACCGGAGAAAGAGATACCCAAACGCCAACAAAGATACCGCTAGAGGTGAGCTCCAAAAATGGAGGTCGACTGTCAATATATAGCCGCCTGGGAAATAATTACCCCAAGCTTGTTGTATTAAAGGTTTGCCATAAAATTTTCTAAAAAATCAACACAAGTCAATGGTAAATATTAAAAATTCAGAGTTGCACATTTACAGGCAATGTACCCTTGATTCTAGTGACTCCGAATATGAGCCGAAGACAAAGAAGAAGAAAAAAGCGTGTAAACATAAATTTAAGACTGATTGGAATAAACAATTTAATTGCTTTGATGTGCATGAAAATAATAATATATATTGCAAAGTATGCAATAATGTTTTAAAAAGTGGTACAACGCATTTTGAAACAAATCTGCAAAAAGGCTGAAACCACGCCAAAAATTATTGAATACTGTCTAATAATATATTTAGGGTTCATGTACTATAAGTAAAATAGATAAAGGATTATTCATTTAGTAAAAAATATTTATATCATAATTTTAAATTATTATTTTAACTTTTCTCATTCATGTTTAGTTTAATTAAAGATACTAAAATTAATTGATACTTTTATGAAAATCCGTTGAACTTGCAAAGACAGCAGTAAACGCGGTTCAACAAATTACCTGATGAATCAAAAGTGCAGGCATCCGAACTTTCTTTATAAAATATTAGAAATAAACAATCACTTGGTTTTGAAGAGCGACACGAGCACGATCCCTCTTAGAATGGTGTACCCTTGGTGAGTACCTAATTAATGTTTAATTTTTATTATTAATCGATGAAGATTGTCTTTTTTTTAATTTGATAATTTACTTAGTAAATAAATAATTTTAATTAATATTATATTTCATTAAAGTTCTACCATCTAGCTACAATTTTAGGCAACCATAAAAAACTCTAAACGCGGCAATACTGCAAAATGCTAGACGCTAAAATTTCATTGAAAAAGCCATTAAAAGAGCGGAGTTAAAACTTGCTGGGTTTTGCATGAACATAATTTTGAAAGAGTAAAACCAAATTTGGTAGATTTTCACACTTTTATTTTAAAAATAAAAATTTCCAAACAAACACTAACATGACATATGTTTCGAAGTACAACTTCTTTTTCAAATGTGACTATTTACAATTCGGTATCCAATATATATACAAAATAATTTAACAAAACAAAGTACTTAAGAAAACATCAATAACATTACAAAATAAACTAACTATTTAAAGTAAATAAGGGTACTTAGGTAATTATAATATCCATCAAATAACAATAAGATAGCCCATTACCGGGATTATCTCACAGAAAACTGGGAAAGAGGTTTAATAAGGGTGAATTATTAATATCTAATTGATCATTTAGTAAGTTATCTGAATTTTTAAATCTATTTATTTCAAGTGTTTCTAAATGGTTTAATTTAAGGCTCTTATTTTCTACATGTAAAATTTCAAAGTTGTCTGTAAAAGAATGATTTTCAGCTAAAATATGATTTGAGTAAGTAGAATTATTTTTGTTTTTTGTATAGCTATTATAATGTTCGGAATAGCGTTTTTTGAAAGTACGGCCTGTTTGACCAATATACAATTTTGGACAACTACCACAATTTAATTTATATACCCCCGATTTATTATTAGGATTAATTTTACCCTTATTGTTTTTAATATACTTCCCAAGCGTATTATTGGTTTTAAAAGCTACGTTAATATTTTGGTTTTTTAAATATGATGATACCTTTTCACTAGGAGCTCCTATATATGTAAGACTCTTATATCTGCAATTTGGATCTTTAATTATGGGATAAACTTGTTGAATAGCCTGTTTAAAAAGTTTTTTCTCTAAAATGTTGTTGGAAAATCATTCTTTCACAGACAACTTTGAAATTTTACATGTAGAAAATAAGAGCCTTAAATTAAACCATTTAGAAACACTTGAAATAAATAGATTTAAAAATTCAGATAACTTACTAAATGATCAATTAGATATTAATAATTCACCCTTATTAAACCTCTTTCCCAGTTTTCTGTGAGATAATCCCGGTAATGGGCTATCTTATTGTTATTTGATGGATATTATAATTACCTAAGTACCCTTATTTACTTTAAATAGTTAGTTTATTTTGTAATGTTATTGATGTTTTCTTAAGTACTTTGTTTTGTTAAATTATTTTGTATATATATTGGATACCGAATTGTAAATAGTCACATTTGAAAAAGAAGTTGTACTTCGAAACATATGTCATGTTAGTGTTTGTTTGGAAATTTTTATTTTTAAAATAAAAGTGTGAAAATCTACCAAATTTGGTTTTACTCTTTCAAAATTAAATGGATTTTCATCAAGTAAAGGCCGAAACAATAAATAATGAACATAATTTACCATTTCTGCTAATGGATCATTTAATTTTGCTCTTAGCTAATATTTTTCCAGATTCTGAAGTTACTAAGGGATTAAAATGTAGCCGTACCAAATCAACGAAGATGACAAAAGACTGTTTGGCACATGAATAATTGATCAGTTATTTCCAAGACCCTTCAAACACAATCCTTCTCATTAATAATTGACAAAATAACAGATGCCAGTACACAAAAGTTTTTAGTCATGATAGCACGATTTTATAATCATTTAAAGGATCGTTGTGAAGATGCCTTTTTAGGCTTACTAAGGGCGGGTTGTTATCGCAGATGGTTAACTAACCAATTACCAAACAAGTGGTTAATACTTAACTAACCATTCGGTTGACGCGGAGCTTATTAGGCACTAGTCACGTAACTGACGTAAGTCATAATTTCTGTAGTATTGGTAGAACTGATTCCTAGGTTCGTGGTAAATTCACGTTGTAAATTGGCATCATTTTGACATTCGAGCTTTTTTTTTATTTTGTGTCTCGTTTTTCTCGAATATTTACATTGGTTTAAAATTATTTTAGATTATTGTTGTTTATAACAATCGCTGAAAATATAAGTAAGTAGATATCTAGTTTTTTTTTTTAAGAGGTGAAATCTGTTAAGGACATCCTTTGCTTGGGTCAATCACCATAGGATAGTGTGGAGACTCCTGGAAACGTTCAGATCCGCTCAGTATATTCACTAAAATACCTCTGTTCTTCTTGATTAGCTGCTCCTGGTACTGCTGTAGGCATTGCTTCGGGAAAGTAGGTATCTAGTACCATTTACCTCTGTAGATTTTATTTTTTTATTTTAGGGTTAAAAAAGGAGGGAAACAAACTTTTCTGGTAAAGAGGAGAGGCAATTAATTTCACTAATAAAAAAATATGCAAGTGTCATTGAAAAAAAAAAACAGCCAAATTAACAAGAAAAACATAATATGGCACCAGTTGACGAAATAATTTAATAGTTACTCTAGGGAAACGTTTCGGTCTACTGATGCACTTAACAGCAAATACTGGAATTTAAAGAAAAACGTAAAGAAAACATATGCTGAGAAAAGATGTCGGGATTTTCATCAAAATTTTATAGTGATGCAACAGGTAATTAAAAACTTAAGAGATCTTCATGGAACCACAGATGTATATTACACTAATAGTGAAATATAAAATATGAGAAGCTGTAGATTCGATAAAAAAAACTAAAAGTCTAAAAACTATTGGATATTATGTAGCTGCAAATTATGTATTTGGATGTGTCGATTCTTATAGCTTCTTCCTTAAAATTGTATATAAATTTGATTATTTCCCTCGCCTGTTAGATTTGAAATTTTAACCAATCACATCGCAATTTACGTTATCGTTAGAACCAATCAGAAACAAATAAATCGACTATATTTTCACTGACTATTTGAAATCGACTATCCATGCATGGTGCTCGATATTCACCTATGTTGACAGCAACTCGCATACTTGATTGTAGGTGTAATATTAAAAGTGGTTACTGTCAAATAATATTAAGTGTCAGACTAAAAATTAATATTAATATATTAATTTTTACTAATGTGAAACGTTTAAAATGAACCGATTTAGGTGTGTTAATAGCGAAGAAATAGACAGTTTTATAGACAATAGTACCCCAAAGAATACAATCAAAAGTAAAAATAGTGTGTGAAATCAGTTTATGAAATTTTGCGTTCAGCGCAAATATGTGCTGAACTATGTAATATCTTAAAAGATTGGGCTTTGAACATGAAATAGAAGACTGAAGCGACTACAAAGAGTATTCTTTAAAGTGTATGTGGAATTCAACTGCTAAGACGTTACAAGAAATATATCTTATAAAATTTCATATAAATATAAATCCATTTCAAGGTATTGAATTTAAAAGTGCTCGCGATGCACGAAATGCAAAAAGACGGGAATTGCAGAAATTTTCAGAGAAAAGAAACCAAAGTTCTACAGCTCTAAGTTTAAAACATATACCGTAGAATGGGGTAAATAGGATCAATTTTAAATTTTAAAATAGCGTATCTCTCAGAGTGATATAGTGAGATATATCCTGTATATATCAAAATATGAGTTTATATCTGCTCTATTCATTTTTGATTCAAAAATTTTTTTTCAGCGATTCGTTGCCCGCATATATATTTTTTTGTTTGCTGATCCTATTCACCTGCCATTGTGGTGAATAAGATCGACCATGCTTTTTTAATGTTTAAACGCATACTCCCTTCTGTGGTGTGTATAGGATCACTTAACTTTTAAGTGTGAGTCCACCTAGAAATTAAAAACCCGATGGCGCGGCCAGTCGGAGAGGTAGATTTCATAAATAGTAATTAAAAGTAGTATTTGTTTGTAACTTTTATTTTAATAAGTACATATGTGACAGTAAAAGCTATTTTAATTATTGTTTGTTGTTGTGTACATTCACACGAATTTCAAATCTGAGAAGACCTCTTCCATATGTTACTGGAGGATTTCATTTAATTTTCAGCTTCTGTTAGAACTGTTTGATCCCCCTGTTTTTTAACGTCATTATGTTGTAGGTGTCTTTGTAGCACAGTATATGCAATATTATGTTTTTTTGCAGCTTGGCGTATGCTATACCCATTAAGAATATCTTGTTTAGCCACTTTAATTATTTTAGGTTCAGTTTTCTTGTTTAGTTTTCCACCCACCGTAGGTTTATAATCCCTAGGCATTATGACGTAGGTACCTCTTGATCCTTTTCACCCCTGCTTTTGATCCTATTCACCCCTGATTTTGATCCTATTCACCCCTGCTTTTGATCCTATTCACCCCTGCCTTTGATTCCATTCACCCCGGTAACCTGAAAAATATCCAACGAATTACAAATATTCTTACAGTGTGATTTCGGTGTTGAATAGGCAAAAATAATTTTATGTGCCTTAGTTACTAACCTGATGGAGTAAATAATGTCAACTCGCATAAATATATTCCTCTCAAATCCGCCTACACAAAGTTTACGTACACGTGAAACCAGTTAATTGACAGCACTTCTAGTTACGAGATGGTTTGCAGAGCTACTAACTGCTGAACGACAAAATATTACTGATTGTTATAGAGGGAATAGTTGGCAACCAATTAAACAAAAAATAGGAGTTTCGATTAAAATATAATTTTTTGAGGTTTTGAATATGAAAATCCCACTTATTGATCCGATTCACCTCAGCGATCCTATTCACCCCATTCTACGGTACTCGATATTATTGACAAATTGGATGAACAAACTCCAAACGGTCTCCAAAAGATTTTCTATTATTTGGCTTCCGTGGAATTAGCTTGGCGCGGTGGGGAAGGCGCAACATGTTTAACATAATATTTTAAATTTGAAATCTCTGAAGATGATAAAGAAACAGGCAGGTTAGAATATAATCCTATTTTTACGAAAATTTGCCAAGGAGGAGACAAAAAATGTGCAGATAGTTCACGTTTACTTCCAAACGAATCTGAACAATCTAACAAATCTGTAGATACTTCTTCAACGATAAATGAAAATTTGCCTGGTCCGTCTGGAGTGTCGAAGCAACCACAAAAAAGAAAATTGCCCTTAGAAACTTCAGGTAATTTTTCTTCTGATATTAAAAACAATTACAATTTCCTATACGCCGTCCAAAACAAATGAAATTGTATTGGTGCCAGAACCGAACTCTCGTAGTCGGAAATTTCAGAGATCGATCGCAAATTATTGAAAATGATAGTTACAGATTTTAAAACTCTATCTATTGTAGAGAATCAAAGTTTTTTTAGAATATTCGCGTCAGTTAAATCCTCTATATAAACCACCAAATAGAAAAAATATAACTAATGAAATTCTACCTAAAGCATATGAAGAGGCAGCCTATAATCTCATGGCCGATTTAAATAATGTAAACCACATGGCAATTACTACGGATATATGGATTTCAGAGAATAATATTGACTATATTACGGTTACTTCTCATTTTATTAAAGATGGAACATTATTTTTTTGCGTATTTTAGCAACCAAAGATATAGCTATGTTTATTTCATCAGGATCTCACACTGGAGAAAATTTAAATAAAGCCATTACAACTATTTTGAATGAGTAAAACATTTTTAATAAAATTGTTACGGTTGCCTCCGATAACGGAAGCAATATAAAAAACGCTATTAATAAACATTAAAAAATGTATCATCATCCTTGTGTAGCACACACATTAAATCTTAGCGTGACTGATGCTCTGAAAAATACATGATATTTTAAAAAACTGTCGATCTATAGTGGGCCATTTTAAGCACAGTGTTCTTGCCACAGAGAAACTAAAATTGGCGCAACAGCAAATGGGCCTCCCAATTTTAAAAGTTAAGCAAGATGTTAGTACAAGATGGAATTCTTGCCTTATCATGATAGAAAGACAAAGGAATCTCTTTGTATTGCAGTGGGCCACCCTTCCAAATGTCCCAGATTTCTTAAATTCTAATGAATGGATAATATTAGAGGATTGCGTTAAAATATTAAAACCTGCTGAAAACATGACTAAAATTTTATCTAGAGAAAAATATGCAACAATATCATTGGTGATTCCATTGTATCGAGAATTTAAATCAGCCTTAAAATCAAATATGTTAGAAATCATGACGCGTAGACTTGGAAATTATGAAAACAACAAAATTGTTGCTAAAGCCACATTTCTTGATCCCAGATTCAAGAAACTTGCTTTCGGACTAGACGACAATGCTGCCAACGCTCAGAAATGGGTTACAGAAGAATTAGGACAGCTTCTGTGTAATAAAATTCAACATCAGTGATCACAGATGAGAGTATTCCAGAAGCCGATACAATAGATTCATATATAATTGATATTTGGGCCGAGTTCGACAAAAAAATATTAACTGCAAAATCATTTTCAACACCTACGAGTACGGTGATTTTAATGGTACGCCAGTATTTAGAGTTTTGGTTCAAATACAAATCTGCAATGCCAGAAATGTATCAACTGGCAAAAAAATATTTATGTATTCCTGCCACCTCGGTGCCATCAGAGAGGGTGTTTTCTAAAAGTGGTCAAATTTTAAGTTCGAGAAGAAAGGGTCCGTTCAAATATTACGTAAGCAAATTTATTACAATTATTTACCCCCCCCCATCTCCCTTGTCAGCAAAAGTAAGCCAAGCTCTTACCCCCTCCCCCATGCTTACGTAAACATTTTTCAATTATAAATGTATTTTTTTATATTATACATATCATGTTATAATTATAATTTTAAAAATAAGAAAATGGATTTAGGATAGAGATTTGATTTTACCGATACAGTATTCAACAGAGTAAGGGACAAAAATATTATAATCTTACGAACATAACAGACTTATTTTAAATTTTTGGTACACATATTAAATTCAAATTAATAGTATTCAGTACATGAAACCCGAATCCATGATTCTAAGTTTTCGATGACATTGGATTGCTTGGATTGCTGCTCAATGTTGTGAGCTCATTTTCATCTGATTTTTTAATGTCTACGTCGATCTCTTCGAGCCATTCAACATCATGGTGCTCTAAACTTCGACTAATGCACATCAGTTCATTAGCACGACGAGCAGCGACTCTTACAGGTCTAACTCTCCTATCAGTGTGCGAGTTTACTTTTTTATGGATCTTCTCGATCAGTGGTGGGAACTCTACGGATTTATCCGTAGATCTACGGATTTTTAATGACGTCTACAGATTTTCGGATATTTGGTGCTAATCTACGGATTTTTAACACAAAAGACTGTAGAGCTACTTTTAAGATCATTTTTAAGAAAACAAAAAAAAATTAAATGTGATGCTGTAAAGTCTAGCGACAAGAGGCAGAAAAAAGACATGTTAAATTTGGCTGTATGCTTAGAAAATAAGAGGTCACAAATTGGCATTATTCTCTGACAATTCTGTCAAATGTCAAATGGTTCTGTCTTATTTTTTGCTCATAAATGTCATAAATTTCATTTTTATTTTTCCTGTTGGGACGTTCTGACTTTTTATTTTGATAGAAAACAAAAAACATTAAATTTTAAAATAAAATGTCGGACAACTTTAAGGAGAATGCAATAAAACGTAAGTGCTGAAGTTTAATTTAAATCAAGTCAACTGTCATGATTTTATTTCTAGCCAATTCCAGCGATTCCTCCGAGACTTCCGAGAGTGATTCTTATGATAGTTACAAGGACGAGGAGGATGAGAGGAAAGAATGCCAAGAATTAAATCGTCCAAAAATAAGTAAAAAGTTAAAGAAGCGATACAAACAAAAATATACGACCAGCTGGGAAAAAAAGTTCCAATGGTTGTCAAAAAGTACAAAAGGAGACCACTTTTTTTATTGCAAGCCATGTCGACAACATTATATGGGTGGACTTACTGAAATTTGTAGACATGCTGGAACATCAAAACACCAAAAGTATTGCAAATATTTAGAACAACAAATAAGTGTAACCAGTATGCTTGCTATTGACACTAGCAGTGTACATTCATCTGAAATTAGATTGGCATCTTTTATTGTCGAACATAATATATCCTTTAAAACGGCTGATCACATCTGTGCCCTCATAAGGGCAGTATGCCCAGATTCCAAGTTGGCAAAACTTTCTCGAAAAAAATGTACAAATATCATTAAAAATGTAACTGGTAGTTACAACTTTGAATGTTTACTGTCCATTTTAACAAATGCACAATTTTCTTTACTTGTAGATGAGTCTACAGATAAAGGTACAACCAAACATTTATGTCTAGTTGTAAGGTTTTTCAATAATCTAGATAACACTGTACAAGATAGTTTTTTAACTTTATTACCAGGGACTAGTAGTGGAACTGCTCGTAGTTTGTATAATTTAATAATAGATTTTTTTGTTAAGTATAATATTGATTACAAAACTAATATGATTGGATTTGGTAGTGATGGAACGAATACAATGATGGGTGCAGGAACTGAAAATCTTATGACATTTTTAAAGAATGACAATCCAGATTTATTTATTTTAAAATGCAGTTGTCACTCCTTCGCACTTTGTGCTTCGTATGCTTGTAAGAAATTACCCGATTCAACTGAGCTCTTACTAAGAGAAATTTATAAATATTTTAAATATAGTACCAAAAGATATAATCAGTTTAGAGTTTCAACAATTCTGTGAAAGTAAACCACATAAGATGCTACAACCATCTCAAACTTGAACAATGGGTTGCACTAAAACTGTATTTTCAAAATGAAGTACTTAATAATCCTGAAAAAAATATAAATGGAGCCGAAAGTATCCATATAAAATTTCAAAATATTTTTCAAAAGATGTATTTACTATTTTTAGACTACATTTTACCCTATATAACTAACCTAAATTTAGAAATGCAATCGGAGCAACCTAAAGTTCATCTTTTGTATTCCAAAATAAAAGAACTATTTCAAATAATTTTGGAAATGTTCGATACTCCAAAATATCTAAACAACAACAAAGATGATTACACAAAAATTGATTATAAAAACCCAGCTAATCTCCTACCCCTAGAGAACATATATTTAGGGGGAGCTGTGACAGCTTTTATTCTGGAAAATGATATTCCAGAAAATGAATTAAAAAAATTTAGAATAACTTGTCTGGAATTTTACCAAGAATTACTTAATCAAATCAGTATAAGATTTTCATTCCAAAGAAGTGATTTAAAAGAAATGTGTATATTATCACCTAGAATTGTATTGTCAAGAAAAAGTCAGTCAATAACACCACTAGCTATAAAATTTCCTCATATCATTCAACCAAGCGAATATAATAATCTAGACAGGGAATGGCGTTTATTACCGAATGTATTGGAAACATCACATATACCTACGGTGACCATATGTACTTATTTTAGTAGGACAGTACTTTCTTTTAGAAAATGTCCTTCTGTCCTTTAATATTGTTGCAAGTACGTACCATTGTACTTATTTTCAGAAAAGGGCCTTCTCCTAACCCTATATTTTATAATTATGTTACGGATAATTATTTTACTCTTTTTTAGAGAAAAATTATGTTACAATTCGATAATTATGTTACATCTGGAATCACCGGTCGTGATATACGCAAGCGATACGTTAACGTCGTTATCCGTCTCACTCATATCTCATATGCAGGTTTAAATTAGTAGCTATTTAGGGATGTTCGTCGTAGAGCTGTTGTTTTATGTAAATATGTGCTACGCCGACGTTGTCGGACGTTGGACATTGGCGTTTTCATTCAGTTGTTGATCAGTATAGTCAGAGTATAGTTGTATAGTGTAGTGTGCTACATAAATATTAAGTAATCTTACGTTCAAAAGTATTTCATTTTACGTAAAAGTCAGCCAAGACGAAAATGCCATTTCAATGCGGAATTACAAAGAGACTATCCGTTTATGAAACCGAAATCAAGCACGGTTTCGGATATCGTTTACTGCGAAATTTGTAAGGGTGAAGTAGATATTTCAAATAGTGGTCGAAGTAATATCAAAGCCCATTTATTAAAAAAGAAACATAAACTAGCGGCAAACGCATCGGCAATAAGTAACAAGTTGCAGACTTTTTTTAAGTCATCACAAGTTAGCTCCGAAAACATGATGATTGCCGCCAAAGAGGGAACATTTGCTTATCATACTATTAAACACATGCAGAGTTTTAGATCTGTACATCTAAATTGATCTCAAATTTATTTGACACAAAATTTAATTCTGCTCGAACAAAAAGCGAGGCTATAGTGAAAAATATATTTGCAGAAGAATCAAAATCCCGATTGCACGTGGCTATGAAGAAGGTGGACTTTATTAGCATCATTATTGATTCATCAAATCATGGTGACATAAAACTTGTTCCGTTACTAGTGCGATATTTCGATAGTGAGAAAGGTATAGAAGTTAAATTATTACGCTTATGTCAATTACCGGGTGAAACATCCGACCAACTTCATAATTACGTTTTTGAGGTGTTAGAAAAATACAAGATCTCCAATAAGGTTATTGGATTGGCAGCAGATAACACAAATACTAATTTTGGTGGGATGAAAAGAAAAGGAACAAATAATTTATTCACTAAACTTAACAATTCGTGTGGCAAATCTTTAATTGGTGTGGGATGTACAGTAGGGTGGAGCGAAAAAAAATATTTTTGAATTTCACTTAGCCTATATGCGGAATAGTTGCCTTTGAATAAATGTTATTACTGTGCAAAATCTCATTTAAATCGCATATGTCCTTTGGCTGCCCAAATGACCTTGTTTTTTAGCTTTGTAGTATAAATATCCAAAAAACTTGTATAGTTTTTTAACTAAATGCAAATAATATCTAGGCCGATTCGAGCGCTTACCATATTAATTTTAATACAAATTGATTATAAACTTCGGAAATTATCGTCTAGAGTCGTGCTTTAGCAACAAGCACGGACTTGTTGCAGGCCGCAGGGCAAGGTGCTTCAGTTCAACAATAACAGTGTCGCAAGCCGCAGTGCAGTTGTTTCGTTAGTGTTGTTTTTCTTTTGTTAATAAATATGCCACAAACGCGTTTAGAATCATTCTGTCCGGTGTTTGGTGATCCAAAAATATTTACAGACAATATGCTTCCAACCTATGCCGACATTATTAGACATTATTTGTTTTTAAGACAAGAACTTTTAAATTTAAATAAACAAGAGCCGAGTTTGGGTAATTTGTGTTTGTCGTTAATAAATGAGTTAAAAGTTTTGTAGGAAAAAAGTTCTATTTCTGTAGTATCTGACCAACAAATTTTACACAAGATAAAGGAGTATCACAAGAAATATCGCGATATTAAAAAGCCTATAAAAAAGGATGGCAAGTTAAATATCTCACCCAAAGTTATTCGTTTTCGAGAATTTGGAGAAAAACAGTTATTTGATATTTCATTGTGTAAATGTAAAGACTTTTTGAAGTGTTTTTGCAAAATTAAAGTACCTATAAATGAAAGGAGCTTTTTAACCGACCAAAGAACTTTAAGGAAAATGGTCATTGGCAAAATTGATATAAAGGCAACTAAAATCCTTGAAAAGAGATTAGAGCGTAAAAATATTGCTGACCAGAGAACGAAACAAAAATCCAAAGAGGACGATGACATTTGTCAAGTAACATCAAGTGACAGGAAAGATTGCCCCAGAAGCACCAATGTTTCGTCCAACGATAGTATCGACCCTCAAGTTCCAAAAAATGTTGAAATCTTTAACGCGCCTTCTACGTCTCAGATGAGAACAAAACTCCCTTTTTTAGCACAGGCCTGTGATCGAACAGGAGTCTCAGACAGATCCGCTGCCATTCTTGTTAATGCTGCCCTAAAAGACATGGGATTAATAACAGCCGAAGAATCATCCAAAATAATAGACCGCAGTAAAATTAGGAGAGAAAGAGTTAAGACTCGCAAGAATTTAAAAAAGAAGCACGAAGAAGAAATATCCTGTGTCTATGGAATATATTTTGATGGAAGAAAGGATAGAACTTTGATTATGGTAAAGGAAGGAGATACAATTTCAAGAAAGACAACCACAGAAGAACATATAGTATTAGTTTCAGAACCGGGTTCCGTTTATCTCGGTCACATAACTCCGTCGTCTGGAAGTGCTCAAAATATTAAAAGAGGCTTATTGGAATTTTTGGAAAAAAACATGGATATTTCTGAGGTGCAAGCAATTGGATGCGACGGGACAGCGGTAAATACAGGTTATAAAAATGGGATAATACGGCAACTTGAAATTTCTTTCGTGCGTCCTCTGCAGTGGTTTGTTTGTTTAATGCATACTAATGAACTGCCATTGCGACATCTATTGCAGCATTTAGATGGAAAAACTATTGGACCAAAAGGTTATTGCGGAGAAATTGGAAAAAAATTAGAAAACTGCGAAAAACAACCGGTTGTGAAGTTTAAAAAAATAGATGTTAATTTTCCCGATATTGATCTTACGAAGCTAAGTACAGACCAAAAATATCTGTATGAGATCTGCATTGCGATTTCCAAAGGAACAATTTCGCCAAGTCTAACACGGCGAGAACCAGGCAAAATGGCACATTCAAGATGGTTAACAACTGCCAACAGAATCTTGAGATTGTATGTTGCTACCGAGAATCCTTCATACAATTTAAATATAATTACAGAATACGTTATGAAAGTCTACGCACCAACCTGGTTTGAACTTAAGGTCCGACCCTCTTGTCGACATGGTAGTTATCATTTTTTTGGCATTAAAAAAAAAAAGTAGATTTTTACCTGAAGAGCTTAAGAAGGTAGTAGATCCGGTACTGCAAAGAAATGGTTACTACGGTCACCCTGAAAATTTGTTATTGGCTATGCTAGCGGACGAAAGGAAGCATATAAGAGAACTAGGTCTTCGGAGAATATTAAAGTGCAGACAAGAAAAACATAATGAAAACCAAGTTCGTCAATTTAATATTCCCGATTTTAATTTTAATGCAGATGACTACTTTGAACTAATTAACTGGCGGTCAATAACAGTTACAGAGCCGCCTCTAACAGTAAAAATTTTGAACAGTGATCTCCAGGAAATGATTTCTGATGTCCCTGCTGAAATTGATATTTTAAAATTTCCTTGTCATTCCCAAGCCGTGGAACGCTGTGTGAAATTAGTTACAGAAGCATCAGCCGCAGTATGTGGCTATGAAGCAAGAGATGGCTTTATTAGGTCTAGAAATGCCTCCAGAATATCCCTACCAAAATTTGAGACAAAAAGTCAGTATAACCAAGTTTTTAAAGACAACTGATTATAAAAACTGATTAAAAGGGTGGGTGGGTGGTGGAACTCGACTTGCAGCCACCTCCACGTGGTGAGTTCTGGGTTATTTTCATTTAGGAAGCGAGTTTTTTGGTTATTTATTATGAAAATAAGCGAAGAGCTGCATAAGAGTATTTTATCTTATTTTTTTTTTTAAATTTAGATGTCAAATTGGCAGCCAAAGATGAAGACTCAGCCAACCATTTTTTTCTACACTAATTCACTTCTAAAAGAGGCAACTATCCCCTATATAGGCCAAGTGATTAAAGGAAAAACATTTTTTAACCATTGCGATTTTTTTGGAAATTTAGATGTCAATTTGGCAGCCAAAGATGAAGTCTCAGCAAACCAATTTTTTGTATAGTAATTCACTTCTCTAAGAGGCAACTATTCCATACATAGGCCAAGAGATTAACGTAAAATAATTTTTTTTGGCCATATTCGCTCCACCCTAATGTACAGCACATATTTTGAACAATTGCATTCAAAATGCTACTGATGTTCTGCCAATAGACATTGAAGTAATTGCAGTAACAATATTTAAACATTTTTACATTTACACTGTCAGGGTGAAGAAACTCAAATCATTTGCTAATTTTGTAAATTGCGAATATAAAAAAATCCTTTCATTTTCCAAAACAAGATTTTTAAATATGATGCCGGCAATTGAAAGAATATTGCAAATGTATGAACCATTGAAATCTTATTTTCAGTCAATTGATAATTGCCCAACGATTATTAAACAATTTTTTAATAATCCCGTTTCAGAAGTGTGGATGTGGTTCGTACATAATGTAGCTTCCCAGTTTCATGAAGGAATCACCAAAATCGAAGGCAACAAAGTTAGCGCAACAGAAGCAGCTTTAGAATATTTTACACACTAAGAAATAAATTGGAACATCGTTTAAATGAGGTATTTTTGCCACTCAAAGTAAGAGAATGCCTTTCCAAACTAAATAATGATGGACAAAGCAATATGGAGGATTTTAAAACTCAAGTGCAACTATTTTATTCAAATTGCGTGTCCTATCTGAACAACTGGAGTTCAAATTTAGGAGAATTAAAATTATTTGAATGGGCAGGTTTACATAAATTTAATTGGAATGATGTTTTTCAATCTGTGGAGACCTTCAGAGCAAATTAGGGGAGGTATTATATGAAGACCAGCTTTTTGATGAAGTCGGAATATTAATTAACTTTTTATCTGTTGAAAAAAATCAACAAATGGAATAGCAAAGATAAAAATAGTGAGGATCGGTGGGTTGAAATGTTTAAATGTCTTGATGCAGATAGTGCCAAGTTGAATAACTTGAAAAAGTTGTGCGAGTTTGTGTTCTGTCTTCCTGGTACTAGCGCTGCTGTTGAACGATTATTTTCTATCATTAATAATTACTGGAGTTCCGAAAAATCTCAAATGAGTGTTTCCACTGTGAAGTCAGTGATGCAGGTGTATACAAATTTCGACGAAACTTGTAACGAAATGTTTCATTTTCTTCAGAGTAACCCATCTATGCTCAAATCAATATTGAGTTCAGAAAAATACGATTGGTTTAAAAAAGGGTATTTTAAAAAAGATAATCAATTTCCAAGTACATCAGTGGAAAAGTCTTTGTAAAATTTAAGTTCTTTTTATGTTATTTGCTTTATTTTAACATTTTTCGATGTTTAATATCACTATTATGCCTTACTTAATAAAAATTGTATTTTTAAATTAACATATTTGGTGTTTTATTTAATGTTGACATGATATTTCTATAAAATGGTGAATGCGTTCGAAAACAATCTTACTGTACTTTTTTTTTCTAAAAAAATTATGGTCACCGTATGTATAACAAACCCTATGACTTTTTGATAATGCGGATTTACATCTGACCCTCCATCAACCGTCATGATTACCACTGGTTTTACTAGTCCACGGTCAGTTTTAGCTAATGGACGAAACTCTTCAAGTTCGAGAAGCGTCTCGAAATCCTGAGCATAAGTATTAGCAGTAGATGAACTATCCTTTCCACTTCGAATAGCGATGTATGTTGGTCCAGAATATCCAACGGCTTGCGGTTGTCCTAGCATACTGGAAGTGATATTAATACCAGCATAAATAGATGGTATTAATTTATGACGATCAGCGATTACCCAATCGTGGTCAGGCAATTTGATTCTATATTCCATGTGCATTAGAAGAGGTGCTTGATTATTTACCGCAATTACGCCAATAGGGACTCGAGCTTTATCATCTTGAGATATGAAAAATATTTATGTTCTCTAAATAATGGATTGATGTTTCAGCGAACTTGCTATCTAAGTGGCTCTTGTGGTGATCAGTTTGAGCCCGAATGAGCTTAACAGGGACTGTCGATACGTCTTCGTCCCTCTGCAGAATTAGATTTTCTGGGAATCAAACGAAGATATGTCCCACTGCGACTAATGTCAAATCCTATTTTACGTAATTCTTGTGTGAGTTCATCAGGGGCCCAATTCCTGAAACTATGCGTTGAACGCCGCATTCGACTAGCGACGCATGGTCGTCACCGCATGCGACGCAAAATCTGTATTCTTGACTACCCTTCGTTAGGATAGTTTTGTGTCGCATGATGTAACGAAGAGTCTTTAATTATTGCAGTAGTTCAATCGTTTTAAACCAATAAAATTTTAGAACGTCATAACAAAACTGCATTATCGACTGAAAAATGTAAAAAAAAAATTCTTTTGCGAGTGTCATTGTGTAATCTCTTTTATTAATAAACTAAATTCTTTGAAAAATTTGAGTAGTGTTTTGATAATGGAGATTGAAAATGAAAAGAAAAGCTTCAAAATTAGCGAGCAACAGAGAACAGCTTTAATAAATTTTATGAAAGATCACCCGAATTTAGTTAGTGGCAAATTTACAAATTATTTCACTGCTACAACAGCTAAAAATTTATGGAAATAATGTGAAACCACACTAAATAGCATAATAGGGGGGAAAAAAGATTGGAAGCAGTGGAGGAAAGTAAGTATTTTTATATTTTTATCTATAATTTAACGATATATTGATTTTATTAACATTGTAGTGCTGGCATGATATCAAATCAAAAACAAAGTCTAAACATGCCAGATTAAGAACTCACCAAGGTGGAACTGGTGGAGGTCCCGCTACACCAGAAATATTATCTAATTGGGAAGAGAATATAATAGATATAATGTGCCCAACTGCTAGTACAGGGCACCCAGGAACTTTAGAGTCATCCATTGTTTTTGTAAGTATTTTATACAAATCACTAGTAAGAAGGTGATTAAGAGGATTATTATTTTTAATATTATTTATTATTGTTGTTAAGATAGAAAATACATGTTTCTTAAATTGTGATTTTTTATTTTCATGTAGGATCTTCCTCTTTTACAACATAATACTCCTGAGATATTAGAAAACAGTAATGCTCAAATGCAGGAAGTTTCTCAATATGAACTAGAAATTGAAACGAATATAACTAATCCTGTACAGATAGAGAATAGAACACTAAACAATATAAAAGGTAATATTGTAGAAAATACACTCTTAAGCTATTATTTATTTCAACAGTAATATTGAGCAATTAAAAGGCAACTAAAATTCGTCAATTTTAGTATCTTCTTGATTTAGATTAGTTTATACATTTGTATAATTTTTTTTAGAAAAAAAAGTTACTCGGAAACAGCAACTTTCTCAATCAGTGGAAGCCACGAAAAATTTAACAGTCACGTCCAAAGAAAGAAACGAAATATTTAAAGAGTATTCACAAGAAAAATTAAATATTTTAAAGGAGACCAATAATTTAAGAAGAAGGAAATTGGAGGCTTTAGAAGAGCAAACTTCTTTAAAGAAAAAAAACTGGAGGCAACAAAAGAGCAGAACAAAATACTGCAAAATATAGCAACTTTGCTAAAAAATATTCTCGAAAAATAATAATGCATATATTAATAGTTGTGTGTTAAATTTTTGTTTATTTTTTAGTTTTAAAATTATTTTGTTTTTTATTTATTAGGTTTAAGTTAGTTATATTGTTGTTAGTTGTTCCTGTAATTACATTAAAAGCAAAATACAATACATAGTAATATTAATTTATTTAAACAAAGTAGTTTTCAATTATTTTAATTATTCATACGCCTTCCAATTTTAATCTCTAAAATGTCCATTTATCACCAATGTTTGTTTCCTTCTTCCTGCTTCCAGATCTGTATTAATTCTTCTTTGGTTTCTAATACGTTGTCCTGGCTGTTCGTCAATAAAATTGTCGATACCAAAATCCACATTTTCCAGTTCCTCATCTAAATCTGGTTCTGGAATATTATGATTTATACACATATTGTGTAACACCACACATGCATTTATTATAAGTGATGCTTTGTCCGGGGTATAGTGCAATACCCTGTGCTTCAGTAAACATCTAAATCTCATTTTGAGTACACCATTACATCTTTCAATGATGCTTCTCGTTGATTTGTGGCAAGCATTATACCTGTATTCATTTGTGTTGGGAGGAGGTTCAACCTCTGTAGGGGTTAGAAGCCAAGCCCTGAGGTAATATCCTGAATCTCCTAAAAATAAATATAAAATTAATTAGATTATGAAGACATATCTAGAATTACCTAGAATTTTGAATTCTTCCTCATTCATGACGAAAACGAAAGACGAAAGAATGGAAGATGGCTGAAGAACATTCATGTCAAATATCACTTTGACCTACAGTGATTAAGAACTTAAATCTAAAAAGACTATTCAGTAGCTAATTATTATTATCATCCTGATTTACTGATCAAAATCTTTTTGATTGTAGTATAGAAATAGTAATCGGCTAAAAATGTTTCTAAAGTAGGCCATGACCGACAAAGACAGAGATACGAGTCATGACCGTGATAACTACGCATGGTTCTGAATTAAGACCAAGTGTGAATTTCTCCAAGATCTACTTTAGAAACATGTTCTGTGGTTCACTCCATACTGTACCTAATAAATGGTAACCATTATACCCCATTTGATGTAACCTTTCCATAGCTACCTTAATGTTGGAATTACTTAAAATATGATTATCATGTGTGCTTCCTGGATATCTTGAGTTGACGCTCAAAATTCTCAATTTGGAATCACATACCTAAAATTAACATTGTAATGCATTTGAAGACGATTTTTTAAAAAAGTAAATTACCAATTGAACATTAATTGAATGATAACGTTTTCTGTTAATATACATGTGTTCAGGATAAACGGGATCATTTGTTTTTGGTGGAACTATTGCCACATGTGTGCAGTCTATGGCTCCAATAACACCAGGAAACCCATACATATTGAAAAAACTAGAATATAAAAATCAAGTCAAATCTGAAAATTTAAAATACGCTAATTTTAACTTACCCATTACGAAGGTTTACCAAGTTCTCCTCATTTACTGAAAATTTAACCCAATGGTTAAAAATTTCTGGCCTATTTAGGACATTTGCTACTTCCTCTACAGCCCTGCTAACCGAAGATTGGCTAATGGATAAAAAAATATTTGAGCCAACATCTAATTGATAGCTTCCCGAGGCAAAGAATTTTAGTGAGCAAAGAACCTAAAAAATACTTTTAATTTTTAATTTTTAAGTATAAATGTTGACTATATTCAATACAATAAACAAGAATACAAATTAACTTACTACTTAAACCACCAAATTACATTTGGATTGGTATATTTCTGTTTCCAGTTTATTGTTATTAATAGATAAAATTATAGGAAAATAAAAATGAAAATAGTTGTATTTATAATTATTATGGGTTTAATTACTAACCTTTAGTTGTGGACTCAGAGCTGAATTTCTTCGTGGTTGCACCATGTAGTGAGTCACTAATATAATTATATTTTCAACTAATTCCTTAGTCGAAATATTCTTC